AATAACCTGCTTGTTTACGTCCGTGCGGGACCGCGTTGGTTCGCTAAGAGTCTGCATACCCGACGCCTTTGCGCCTACACCAAACAAGCGTCGGTTGCGGGGAGGTTCGAGAGCGTTTTCCCACCCGCCCCGGCCCTTAAGAAAACGCCGCATTTTCTACGGCCGCTTTGCCAGCCGAGAGCTGCGGGGTGAGAAAAGCCCAACCCGTTTCCGCGTGGATATAGCCAAGGGTTAACGTCTAGAGGTCGTTTAGGAAAGCTACGAGCTGCCCCACCTTAAAAACCCAGCTGTACAATAGGCATCTTGAAGTATTACAAAAAATCATGTAAGAAAAAATGAACGAGCCTAGTTCACGGTATAGAAAGGTAAAGGAAATGGCTAAAACCAGACAGGAATAGCTATAAAAGGCACAACTTCCCTTTGCTGATATACACCTGTAAACGTTGTTACATGCATAAACCAAAACGCTACCTTAACTTTAAAAAAAAAAAATAAAATAAAATCCAAAACACTTGACAAGGAAAAAAAAAAAAAAAGCCTAAAAAATTGTCTCCAGCCAACTGCAGAAATTAACGAGCAAGTGTTCGTTACAGCCTCGGTCTTGCCACCGGTGCTCGGGATGCAGCCACGGATGTCGCGCGAGGGGAGAGGGAGGATTTCCCAGCGACCGGGTTTGATTTCCTCTCCTGTCTCCCCAGTTTTTTACCGAAGGTGAGAAATCCGCTGCTCCTGTAGCCTTGGCCCTCTGTAAACCACATGTAGTGCATAATTACAAACGAAACACCGCTGCAAGGACAAAACGAACCAGTCCGGGAGGTTTCTCCTCACAAAACAAAAAAGCTATCATCTGACGTTTTCTTAAGGCAACCCTTTTGAATTAAGGCAGTCACTTCTGATGAAACAAGAGCTTCTTGATATTTCCATTGGAATATTTTGGTATCTGATTGCTGATGATTTCTGCCAACATCTCGGGGAACTCGATACTCATGGATTTATCCAAAAATGTCTGGAAGCAGAAGCTCAGGAGATTTTCCACCACCTGCGGGTGACAAACACGGGGTTACTGTGACGTGAGCACGGCCAGGGCTGACCACCCTTCCCCGTTCGGCACAGCAACAACGCACACGCGGACAAGCTTCACGTCCACGTGGGGAAACTTCACCAGAGCTGTCCAGGACAACAAGATAAATAAACAGAGCTTCGAGGTCTCTCAGCTTCCCCTGCCGTACCCAGCCCACGCCCTCCCCTGTGCCACACGCGCCATTTGGAGGACGCACCGCAAGGGGACCCGGCCTGAACCCTCAGGCTCCTTGCGAGGTGACACCACAAACACTATCGCATTATGTTAAGGCAGTGTCTGACAGTCCCACAGCCTCTCGAGCACTCTGCCTGCGGGATGATGCTGGTTTTAAACCCCGCATCGCTGCTACCACTGCAAAACCACGCAGAATTTCTGAGTGCCCCCATTTTAAAGCAAAGTAAGTTTAAAAACTGAAGAGACTGAAAACGGCATTAATTCACAGAATCCCAGAACGTTAGGGATTGGAAGGGACCTCCAAAGCTCATCCAGTCCAATCCCCCTGCCGGAGCAGGAACACCCAGATGAGGTTACACAGGAAGGCGTCCAGGCGGGTTTTGAATGTCTGCAGAGAAGGAGACTCCACAACCTCTCTGGGCAGCCTGGGCCAGGGCTCTGGCACCCTCACTGAGAAGAAGTTTCTTCTCAAATTGAAGTGGAACCTCCTGTGTTCCAGCTTGTGTCCAGTAACATTAATTGCTGTGGAGCAGTCTGAAGGCAGCACGTTCCCCTCTCTCCATCAGACAGCAGAGGGGCACGACCGCCTCCTTCCCCTCACCCCCCCGATATTGATCCCTTTCAACAGGCCAGAGGAGGTCACTGCCGTGCCCCCGCTGCGTCCACCCGGAACAACTCACATCGTGCATAGAGTCCAGCAGCTTGGTCAGTTGGTAAAAGCGCTGCCAGTTCTGGCTCGAGTTCCCCTCGCGCTTCACGATGGCCTTGCCCAGCTCCTTGATGTAGGTCATGCGGATTTCTTCAAACAGGGACTGGCTCTTCAGGCCTTCCTTGGGAACTGCAACAGAAAGCAGCCCTTGAGACACCGCTCGCCCACGAACCGCGGCGTTGATTCGCTTCTCTCGCGTCGGTTGCACAAAGAAGAGCGGAAGGTGAAGGGCTTAATGCAGCGGCAGCTGAGAGGCGAGGGAAGAGTGAAAACCCAGACTGATGAACCACTTAATAAGCAGCAGTTCCCCCACGCGTGCGCTCAGAGCAAGGGACAATGTTCTGGGTTTCAGTACAGCCCGGGCCGGCCGCGGGTCAACGGCAGCGCTCGCCACGCTTCGCTCCTGAGCGGGCGTTCCCCTGCGAGCGCAGCCTCTGCCCCACTTCTGCCGTGGAAATTCCTTTCAGGAAATTTCCAGTTCCTGCAGGGAAACTTGGCCTGCGCCGCATCCAAAACACTGGAGGAGTTTTCGGGGCGGATTTCAGAAACTGCTCTAAAGCTGCAGTTCTGGGGAAGCTTCAAGTTCCTACAGAGCCCACGGCAGCGCGGAGCCGAATTTTCTGCTCTGAAAAGAGCCCTTGTCCCGGTCCTGGTCCTGGCCAGGGTGGGGAGGAGCCAGGCACGGCACCGCATGGCACCCAAAATCTCTGCACCGGGGCTGCGGGGGCCTGCAAATAAAAACTTCCTAACTTTTTTTAGGGAAACTGCTTCCTGGACCAAACTTCCTCATGGACTGGTGTTTTTTCGGGATTTTTTCGGTTGGCTGGGTTTTAAGTACTTTACAGGCATGAAGTTGTAGCTTTGCCCTTTTCTTTGGGTCCTGAACTACTCAGCCAGTTTGTGATCTATAGATACTGAAGAATTCTGAACAGCAATTCTGAGTCAGGCCCCTGTTGCAGTTGTGAAGTGTTTTTCTATCTTGGCATGAACGTCTTGATCTGCTAAAAGCAGAACTCCCTTCGCTGCTCCCATGCACTCAGGTCCCAGGCAGCACCTTTTGACTTCTATCTGACGCCTAACACCGTTTTAAACCACACACGCACGCTCCTAACGCTGTCGAGTTAAACCTCCACTGCTCACACAGGCATTTCACCGTGCACCTACCTGTGGAGAGGAGGAGCAAGGTTTTCATGCAGAGATACTCTTCATAGGAGACTTGCAGCCGCGACAGCTCTCGGGCCACCATCAGCATGTGTTTGCATTGCTCGTACATACACGGGAGGTTCATTCTCTGCCTGAAAAACAAGAGCATCAGCATTACTCAAGTGTCCAGGTATCTAAAGGTTCTCAAGCGAAGCTTTTCCAGGCTTCGTTCCAGAGGGCAGGGGTTGCAGAGGCGGGTGATGAGCTGGTGCGTGGTCTATCCCACAGCAGAATTAGGTTCATTTCTGCTCAGCCTTGGTCCTCACACACAGACCCTGGCCTAGAACCGAGCACGCGTTAAAGCCCGCTCTGGCAAAGGACGCCCGTCTTCAGCGAGCGCTGTTACCAACAGCCAGCACCACAGCTCTGCTCTGACCGTGGAAAAACCAGGTTCAGTCACTGCTGACACAGCTCTCCAGGTCTGGCAGTCCCAAAGTATTTGATCTGTATAAAGGAACATGATGGTGTAACACGATGGGTTATCTCCAGTTCCTGCAATACTTCTGAGAAGTCCACCTCACTCTAATGCAGATCTGCTCAGCAGTGACAGCACCAGCTCTTGTAACCTCTCAATTTCAAAGTGACTTCACACTTCCTGTACCCTTTTACGTTCTTAAAGCATCCAGAATTGCAACTGAATTTCATTATCCTTTCACTGCAATAATAAGGTTTCCAACCATAAACGGAAAGACAACCAAAGGAAAATGGTGGAAGGCAGCTACCTGGAATCAGAATGACAAACTTTATGTATTCATACATTCTTTTCCTTTTATTTTTTCTATTTTAGTGAAACCCTGCCTCAAGACAGGAACTCCTCCTTTTATTTAGTACCTCACCTAAAGCAACGATCCTCTCCACATGTGCTTTTACAGCTGGTTACTGTGAATGCTGCAGGATTACGCTTTTGGGTGGCAAATGAACCAGAACAGACGGATTCTGAAGAGCCTAAAAGATGTTCATGCTTTTCCATGTAAACTTTTGTGGAGAAGACAGGCAAAATATGATGTTTGAAGTGCAATGACTACACAATCTCTGCAGTGATGCCAGCAATTTATTTGTTGTCAATGATGTCTCACTTTTGCTAAGACTTCACTGATTCAGTGTTATAATCTACACAGGACACAGACAGAACTGCATCCCGTTTGGTTACAAAACCACACCAGCTCCTCCAGAGCGATCCTTTTTCAGCTCTCCCTTCCTCAGCCGTACATAATGCACCTCAGGAGGCTGCCAAAAAGCATCCTCGGAAACCCCAAGTGACCCCAGAAACGCTGGCGCGCCGCTGGACTGCAGGAGAACACGCAGTGCACACGAGGTGAGCGCCGTGAAACAGGAGTAAGTGTAAGACGCTGGGCTGCGGCTCCAAGCACTTGACACAAAGCCGCTGTTTGGCCGCTTGGCAACGCTCCTCCTCACCCCTCTGTGCTGTATCAAAGGGCATCTTGCTTATTTCAAATTGAGTAATTTAAACACATTCTGTGACGGGGCTCAGCAGTTTTCCTCATGTAAAACTATTACCATTTCTGGGCAGAAGGTTAAAATAAACATGTTGAAATGGGTCAGCCTGCTGTTTATTTCTAGCGGCTGTAAACGCAGTCATCGCCGCAAATCTGAGAACCTATACGAAGACGCGCAGATTTTGGGCGATACCAAGGCAGTCCTCAAAAAACGAGAGGACACCGCAGCCCCCTGCGCCGAGGGGAGTCTGGGGGCACAGAGGAGCCGTGCGCCGGCGGGCAGGGCCGTGCCCCAACAGGGGGACGCTGATTCACCGCGCAGGCCTCGGCGCTGGCCC